ATGTTCCTATATATTTTTGCATGAACGATAATTGGATAACTACCGTCAGACTACTCAAATAATTTATTTTTCGTTTTGGAAGAAGTGATTCGGCTGGACCACATTTTTCCACTGTGCACATGACTGATATCAATTCTGAACAGCCTGTAAAGATATGATAAGCATAGAGTGCTGGGTTAATATATGCACATGACATCTTGGGGTGATTGCGGCTTCACATGTTGCTGATCTGTTTATTCCAAGCAATTCTATTACAGGATAATGTTTACTATGAGGAGGAAATTAAGGATCCAGAAGCAGCATGGGACTTTTTTTTTTTTTTGACATTCTTTATTTTTATTTTTGTTTTTCGGACACAGATATGTAACATACAGATCTTGTTATTGCATTGAACATATGCGGATGAGCATTCGTACAACAGTTAAACATTTAGTTTTTAGTGTTAATCAGTGCTAGGTATATTCATTTCTATTGTGTTGAGATTAGAGCGTATTTCCGTGTTGGCTATCTGTTGTTTTCGTCTATGTTTGCGAGTATTCGGGTGTGTTTATATTTTTGTTGTTATTTCTGTAGGTGTATGTAGGGTGGGAGCTCGGGTGTAGATTACGCTGCCGCATGAGCGGCACTTGTTAGAATGTCGGTGTCTTCGGTTTGCGTCATGACCTCTTCTCTAGCTACGTTTTGTATTAATTTTGGTTGGTAGTGGGCGTATTTCGGGTCTCGTCTATTTAGCTTATTCCCGGGTCGTGCAGCCAGGTGTTAGCATGCATCCCTGTTTGGCTTTTTACCCTTTTGTTTTCTTTACTCTGAGAGCCCAGGTGAGCGTTATATTAATTTGCGATTCTTTTATGTGCGTTGGGTCGGGTTCTGGATGTAGGCCGTGTGTGTGATATTGTCTATATATGTTGTCGTGTCATCTCTCTAGGGTTGTTTGTAGCGTTGGGTTGAGGTTATGCTTGATTAGTGGTATCTTGGTCCCTATCGGGTTAGTGTGTCTTCGTGTGTTACTCCCGTTGTTGGTAGTCATTTCGTTTTCCCTTGTGGGGTAATTGCGTCTTACTTCTTGTGTGTTGTCATGTTTCCTTTCAGGTGTGGAGGGTAAGTGTCCGTTGTGCTGGCTGAAGGTAGGTCAGGGGTCGGTCTGTCTATAAGGTGCCTATGTTAGACGTCTGTTCTGAGGAGTCTAGAGGCCCATTTACCCTGCGTGGAGTGTTTTTTTTTGTCTTTATCGGTGGATTATCCCTTGTTTCTACCCTTTATCTCGTGTGGCTATGAGAGTCCTAGGACAGCTAGTCTTTCTACTCCGATTGTGTATGCCTTCTCCTCTCTGACTGTCTTTCCTCTCTATCCATATGTGTCTGTTCCGTTATGGTCTAGCTGTAATTTTTGTGGAGTGCTTCGGGTGTATGTCTCAGTTGTACATCCACAGTCCCTGAGAGGGGAGGGGGGTTATGGTCAGGTGTGCGGTTCTGTTAGTTGTGGCCTTTATTGTAGCTGTTCGTGGACTTGTCGTGGAGCCTGCGCCACTGCGGCAGCTACCCCGCTCCCTCCCGCACCAGCTCGCGCAGCTCTCTTAGACACATAGTCTGCCCATGGGAACCATGTCAGAGTACACTTGTCCGAACGTCCCTGCAGTGAGGCAGTCATCATTTCCAGGTTGTAGATTGTTTCCACTCTGTCTATCCATAGTTGAAAGGAGGGAATTGCTGGGCTTTTCCACAGTGTTGGTATAAGCGGTTTTGCCTTCGTGATCAGGTGTATGCCGCTGCCCTTTTTGTATTTCTTCGGAGGTATGTGTGTGTGTGATTTAGCAGCATCGGTAATGGCTGTAGAGGGATTTCCATTCCCGTGATTTCTTTGATTGTGCGGTGTATCATTTGCCAGTATGGTACTTTGTGGGAACATGTCCACCAGATGTGGAGCCCTGTGCCCTCTTCTGTGCCGCATCGCCAGCATTCTCCTGGGATCGATTCGGGTACGTGCCGCAGTACATCCGGGGTCCTGTACCAGTGTGTTAGTATCTTATAGTTGCACTCTTGGAATTTAGTGCTTATAGATCCTTTGTGCGTCAACTGGAAGATGTTTCCCCATTCGAGGTCTGTTAGTTCAACCCCTGTCTCCCTTTCCCATCACTCCATGAAGCCTAGCGGGCTCTTATCCCCGTTATTTTGTAATGTGGTTTATAGAAGTGATACACCATGTGCGAGGTGCTGTCTGGTCGTGCAGATGTGTTGCAGCAGCGGGCGATGTAGGTGACCTTTGCCTTTCACAGCGTTGATATACGTTTTTATTTGGTGGTAACGGAATTCGTCTAGCCTGTTTGGTCTGCGGTCTTGTAGTAGCTCTGCTAAGGTCTTCAGGTTCCGTCCATTGCACCATTGGCGTATGTGTACCCAATCCGTTGCTCCGAAGTTCTGTAGGTCTGTGGAACTAAGTCCTCCCGCCAGTGTCGGGTTGTTAGTTATGGGTGTGAGCGGGTGTGAGCGGGTCGTGAGTTTCTTGTTGTATCGCACCCTGCACCAGACCCTCAGAGTGGCATCTATCATTGGATTCCCTGTGCGCATGTCTCCCTGTGTAGCTTCACCTAGCCATAGTAGGGCGAGGATCTTCCCCTGTGCTTGCTGTAGTTCCATGTGAACCCACTGTTTGGTGCTCGGGTTGGCGTGCCAGTCAACTAGTCGATGAAGGTGCGTTGCTTGATAATACGTGATGATGGACGGTAGTCCCGTGCCTCCTTCACTCTTTGGCCGCTCCAGGGTCGATCTCCGTATGCGTGCCGGTTTCTGGTTCCATACGAACCGTCGGATGGTAGTCGTTAACGTCTGAAAGAAGTCTTGTGGGATGGTTGTGGGCAGTGTCTGGAATAGGTATAAGATCCGGGGCATGACGTTCATTTTAATTGCGTTTATTCGGCCGAACCATGAGATGTACTGTGTCGTCCATCTCTTTATGTCCTGTTGCAGGGTTACGAGAAGGGTCGCGAAGTTTATTTGGTATATTTGTGCGATGTTCTTTGGTAGCCAGACGCCCAGGTAACGTAGTTTGGTTGCGCATATTTTAAATGGGTACTGTGTTTGTATGTGTTGTTGGAGAGCAGTGTTTCGGGTGAGCGGCAACGCCTCTGATTTATCCAGGTTGAGTTTCAAGTTCAATACCTCGTTGTATTTCCAGAAAGCTTCCAGTAGGTTCGGCGTCGATATCCTGGGTTGTTCCAAGAAGAAAAGCATGTCGTCGGCGTATGCCGCCACCCGGTGTTCCTTTCCGCCTATACGGTGTCCCGTGATTCCCCCGTCTTGCCGGACCGCTTCAAGGAAGGGTTCAAGGGTGAGGGCAAATAGTAGGGGAGACAGGGGACAGCCCTGACGCGTCCCATTGCATATGTTAAATGAATCCATTAGTGCTTCATTGACTCGTATGCGTGCTGATGGTGTGGTATACAGTGCCGTGATCCAGGTTCACAGGTGTGGCCCAAACCCCATGTGTCTCAGTGTCTCCGCCATGAAGGTCCAGTCTACCCGATCAAATGCCTTTTCGGCGTCGGTGGACAGTAGCACCATGTCCCGGTTGGCAGCCGTGGCTGTGTGTATGATATTAAGGGCCCGGATGGTATTGTCCCTGGCTTCCCTCTCCGGTATGAATCCGACTTGGTCCGGGTGTACCAGATCCGGGAGTGTGCGTGCAGTTCTAAGGGCCATGGCTTTGGCAAAGAGTTTTAAGTCCGCGTTCAGCAGCGAGATCGTCCGGTAGCTGGCGCAGTTCGTTGGGTCTTTGCCCTCCTTTGGTATGATCGTGACTGTCGCCCTCAGGGTGTCTGTGTGGAATTGACCTCCGATTCGTATGGAGTTGATGCCCTCCAGGAGTCTGGGTAGCAGAATGTCCTTGAAGGTGCGTAAATAGGAGACTGGGAGTCCATCTGGTCCTGGTGCTCTGTGTGGTTTCGTTTGTTTCAGCGCCGCCGTTAGTTCTTTGATCTCCAGGGGCAGTTCTAGGTCGGCTTCTTGTTCCGGGGTGAGCTTGCGTTTAACATGGTCCTCTTGGTAAGTGGCTATCCGCTCTTGGTGCTGTCTTGCCGCCGGACCCGTTTGGAGCTGCGCTTGGTCGTAGTGCGTTGTGTAGTAGTCCCGGAACGCTTGTAAAATACCCTCAGGGAGTCGTGTAACGCCACCTCTGGTTGTGTGGATTTTGTGGATGTGTTGTGTTCTCCGTTTCTCCAGGAGCATCCTTGCGAGCAGTCTGCCACTTTTACCAGAGTGTTCATAGTAATACCTGGATGTTTTCCTTGCGGTATGGAGTATGCCTTGGGACAATATATCCCTGAGCTCTCTGCGTTTCTCGGTAAGGCGGAGGAACGTGCCCTCCTCTAATGTGTTCTTGTGATCCCTTTCTAATTCTGCTATTTGTTTCGTCAGGTTAGCGATGTGCATCCTCCGGTGTCTTTTGCGGTTGGTACTAGCTGCAATGAGGTGCCCTCTGATAGCACATTTATGTGCCTCCCACAGCGTTGATGGTGGAGTATCTGGGTTGTCGTTAATGGTAAAATATAAATGTTAAGGCGTTAGTTACCGCGGTAGTGAGCTCTAGGTCATCTAGCAGGGATTCATTCAATTTCCACTGTCTTTCCCCTGGTTTGTAGAGTGGGGAGCTGGTGCGCACCAGAACTGGCGCGTGGTCGGAATACTCCATCAGGCCTATGTCTGCATTAAGCAGTAGGTTTAGATATTCCTGGGCTATGAATATGTAATCTATACGACTGTAGTGTGCGTGGACCGCTGAGTAGCAGGTATAATCTCGAGCGTCCGGGTGGTACACCCCCAGCAGTCTACGAGCCCTGATTTGTGTAAGGATTGTTGCGCGGCACGTAGACAGTGTGTGGGGATTGCGCTCTGGCCCCTGGAGGTATCTTCGTGGGGTTCCAAGGGTATGTTGAGGTCTCTGGCCGCCACCAACAGGCCTTACCTGAACCTCTCAAGCTTGGCCAGAGTCCGGCTCAAGAAGGTGTGTTATTGTTTGTTTGGGCCATACAGGCACGTGAAGGTGTATACGCGGTCCGCGATTGTCCCTTTAAGGAAGAGATATCGTCTGTTGGGGTCTGCTAGGGTTTTCTTGCATTGGAATGGAGTTGTGTGGGCGAAAAGGATCGCCACCCAAGCTTTCTTGGTGTCAGTATGGTTTGCGTAGAATCCTAATGGAAAGCGTTGATTTTCCAATCTGGGTGCGTCCTCGCCTCTGAGGTGCATCTCCTGCAGGAACGCTACGGACGCTTTTGCCGTCCACAGCTGTCGGTGCAGGTGTGAGCGCTTTTCTGGTGTATTGAGTCCCTGGACGTTATTGGACCAATATGTCAGCTGCGCTGGGGAAAACCCCTGTCTGGCTACCATCTCGGGGAGGGGGGGGCACCCCGTCCGCAGCGGCATTGGCAGGGAGGAAAAAGAGAAGAAAAAAAAGGGGGCGGGTTGCTGTCGTGTCTGTAGGGGTCAAGGGCGTGTGCTGCGGTATTTCGGTTCTGGTGCAGCTAGTCGTGTGGATGGTAGTATGGGTGTGACGGCGACCCTGCACCGGGTGCTATCGTTCCAGGGGTCGGGTGGTGTGCCCGTCCCGCGTAACCCCGGTTGTAATTACAGTATGGGTCTGTCTCAATGAGGTTCAGTGGTGTCACCTTTGGAAGTGGTGTCGTCTGGTCTAGTGGTCAGTTGTCTCCCGTCTTTCCGTCAGCTCCCAACCCGTCCGAGGCGTTTGTTGTCGTTTCATCAGTTGTAGCTAGTTTGGGGGTGTTTTATGTGTTCCCATCCTCCCAGCCTCTATTGACATCGTTTGGCATGGTTGCAATTCAGCGTTTCGTCGTGTGCTGTTGTGCTCTTCTCTGTTTTCTCCCGTCTTCGGTATAACCCGTGCGCCCCTCTAGGTTAGTCTGATTCTAACTAAGCCCGATTCATCCTGTTCACCGCCCACTAGTTCTACGTCTCCCTCCGTTGGCGTATCCCATGGGTTCCAGCGTGTTGTGCGCTGATGTCCCCACTTGTTATGGCCCATGTTGAGTTTGTGTCATTGGTGAGGCTCTATCGTTATAGTGTGCCGTCTCAAATGTGTAGTCAGTTTGTGGTGTGTCCCCGTCTACAGTGGTGTTTCTGGTATGCGGGCTCTTGTATGTTAGGTGGGTCTTTTGTTAGGTTGACGGTGTATATGGCCCATGTCTCACCCAGTGGTTCTTTATCTGCTTGCGTAATTGCCCGGGGGGTTTCGTGCAGCGGCTTTTGTTATGTGGGTGGCCTGCTGTCTAAGTTTGTGCTCCGTGCAATCTTTTGGCACAGGGTTTGTGCGTGGAGGGGGTAGTCGCCCACGGAGAGGTCTCCTTTTGTGGTGTGTCAGTAATGGGCGCTCGCCTTCTTTTCCGATTCCGTCTGCCTGTTGGCTATTTTCTACTACTCTATTTCTCTTTCATTAATCCGGTCTATGTTGTCCCTAGCTTGTGTTTTAGCTGCGCCTGCCTCTTTTGTCTATTCTACTCCAGATCCTTCTCTCTAGTTCCCTTCCTTTTTCCCCCCAGTGGTATATGTTTTCCAGGACTCAGATCAGTGAATTTTAACTATGTATATGCAGTGTGCTTACAGCGTATGTGCGCTGTTTGTAGGGGTGCCATTTATCTAGGGTGTTGTCTTCCCGGGCTGTCATCGGTAAACATTCAAACTATGTACAATATATGACCTAACTTCTAGGTGACCTCCAGTTCTATCGCCCGTCCCTCCCCGGACCTTGTCCCCCCTCACTCCCCTGTGCCCCCGAAACCCAGCTTCCCGCAGTTCAGGCTGTTGATGTTGTTGTGTCCCAGTCAATTTTGGTTATGCATGGGTATCTGTTGCAGGCCCGCGTGGTAGCCGCCAGTGTCTTCTTATTCTCCCTCCTGCCCCAGTGAGGGCCCGTATCCTTCCAACCTCAGGGTTCCCCCCTTGTTCTGAGTAAGTGTATTCGGGCCTTCTGGTGGGACTTCTACCCCTGGAGCACCCTCCGGATGATCCGTCCCTCCCTACCTATCTGGTTCCCTTCTAGGCTGCTTATCGAAGAGCATGGGACTTTTAAGCCCTGTTTTTAGTGTCTTACAACTGTTTTTTTTTTTTAAATGACATTTTCACAACAATACATTTATATCCTTTTATTAAATTGTGGAAAAACAAACAGATGTAAAAATACAGTAGGTAAGATATAAGATAAAATGATATGAGATGCAAGTGATATCGTACATAGCCAGCCGAGGTGTGTGGCAACTTAAAACTGCATGTATGTTGAGTGTATGCACACATATCACTAAAGAAAAGATGGGGTGAAAAGTCCACTCACAAAAAGTAGGTGGAAAATCCAACCCAAAGAAATATACCTCCTTGATATAAAGCGTCACATAAATAAAATAAGAAAATCTTTATTGAACAAAAATAATAATATTAAATATACTGAAAAAATGTAAGTGATAAGGTATAAACCAACACCTATTAAAACCTGGGTATTAAAACCTGGGTACACTAAGCCCAAACAGTTTTATTATTCGTTATACGGAGGGAGTATATAAATGGTGTTTGCCTTTAATGAGGATCCACCTTGAGGGGTGTGTACTTACCCCTTTATAAGCGGCTTCCTATGTACATGCCAGTTTGCTCTTGACAAAGGCGCATCGAACACGCCGAAATGCCCGTCGAGCTGTGAGCAGCCGATGCTGTTATTTTAACTTAGATTTTTTTCGTTCTCCTACCTGGGTTCCCACGGTGTTAGCTATTCATTTGACAGACTACTATATATTAGCTGCTTAGGGATTCTGCCAGGCTGCCACAAAGCAGCAGTTAGATGTATGTCTTTGGGCGAGCTAGTTTAGCATAGGGTCTACTAGGATCTTTGATCTAGTTGGGAGGTACCTCTTTTGTAACTAGACCCGTTTTTGTTCAGGCAGCACTATCTATATTCAAGCACACTGATAGCTGCGCCTCTTGCAACTGTGGAAACCCATATTATTTTAGGTCCTATAGAGGCTATATCACCCCTCTTTTGGATTAGACCAAGGGCACTATATATGTTATCTCTGCTGAATTTCATTTTATTATTAATCCCTTCTCCTCCTTTTTTCTACTCTATAAGGAGGCTATCTCTCTTAACATCTAGCCCAGAGACCCTTTCCTGCACTCTTCAGCTTGGCTCTTTTTCTCCCTTGGGTTGCTATAATAATATATTTTTATTGAATATTTAACTAGACCGTGATGCCATTTATTACTTAGTTTATTGAGGAATTTCTACCTTGCATCATTAAAGGCAAACACCATTTATATACTCCCTCCGTATAACGAATAATAAAACTGTTTGGGCTTAGTGTACCCAGGTTTTTAATAGGTGTTGGTTTATACCTTATCACTTAAATTTTTTCGGTATATTTAATATTATTATTTTTGTTCAATAAAGATTTTCTTATTTTATTTATGTGACGCTTTATATCAAGGAGGAAAAAATTTTGGGGTTGGATTTTCCACCTACTTTTTGTGAGTGGACTTTTCACCCCATCTTTTCTTTAGTGACATAAGTTTCTGGGGTTAGGCCCCTTATACCTCCTGTAACCTTTGGAGGTAGAGGCGGTGATTTTTCATCCCCTCTCCTTCCTTCTTTTTTCTCTGTATGCACACATATATTGTATAAATTTTACATAGTTTTTCTATACCTTCCCTTACATTATGCTGTAAGCTGTTCCTCTTGATTTAATTGATAGTACAGGCGTAACTGTAAGGTGTTTGTATGTGTCCTGTATTCTTAAAATATTCACTTTAAAAGAATGCCATTAAAACGGCAAGTTATGTCATAACAGTGACTATATAACACCAAGACATTCATAAAAACCTTTTATATTCATTTACATTTGTATTCAAATCAAGGAACACTGAAGGGAGGTTAAGGAAACTAAAACCAGTTAGTCACAAGCCCACGTTATGGTAGTACTGATAAAATAGCCCGTAAAAGACAAGTAATTGTAAATGTTGTTCTAACTCTTGGGTACATGCATAATTATTTATTAATTATTTCTCTGTGTCTATTCTTCTATATTTTATAGAGTAGAGAGCATACAATTACACATATGCACAGATACAAACACTGACACACATCCACAGATGCATATACTGACACACAAGCAGAGATACATATGCTGACATACACAAATACTGACACACATGCACAGATGCATACACTCACACACAAACACTAACACATATGCACTGATGTATAAATGAGAAGGCTGGCAGCCTTAGACCTGGGGGGGCAAATCCAGTCAAGTGGCCCATTGCACCACTGAATCAGCTCACCATCCATGCCCACCTTTTCCTGGTTTTATAATGCAGCCAATCCCACAATGTCTCTCTCCGCTAGTGCTTATCCTCTGCCTCCAACCTCCAAGAAGATTGTCTGTGCGAGGACTGGGAGACTGGGAGTTGTAGTTTCCTTGCTAAGCTAAAGCTTGGTACTCCAGTGAGCCCTTAGCAAGGACTACAACTCCTGTAATGCATCAGATCCCACTCCCTGTCAGCCAGTGAGCGGCAGTTCCATTCCCCCTCCCTCTGACTCCACAACCAAGCAACAGCCAAGAGATCCCGTCTCTGCCTCCGTGGCAGGCAAGCAGGCAGAGACAACAGCCATTTTTAACATGATTTGGGCAGGACGGGCCAAGGATTTTTGGGTACATAGGCAAAGATGCCCCTCCCCCCAAATAATCCTCCCACATTTTGTGTGTCCTCCCAGTCCCCTTGTGTGACTCCTTCTCTCCCAGCCCCTTTGTGTCTTTTGCTCTTCCCAGCTCCTTTGTGTATGTCTTTTTCACCTCCAGCTCATCTGTCTCTCCCCAGCCCCTCTGTGTGTCTCTTTTTCCCCTTCTCAAGCCCTGACAGGAAGTGCTTTCTCAGTGAGTACCTCCTGACAGTCTGGCCGGGTACAGGAAATAGAACTCACACACTCATACACCCACAGACACACACATAGACTCACTCACAGACACACACACACAAACACTCACTAATTATTAATATTTTTATATTTATATCTACTGATGCAGGGAACCGCGGCATCAGCAAACAGCGCGCGAGGGAGCAGAGCAGGGAGATCAGAGCTCTCTCACCAACAGAGCTGCACGCCGCACCGGGGGTCCATAACATGGCCTGGTAGGAGGAAGCGCTTCCCTCCTGCCTGTCACTTGAATCTTGCACCCCCAGAGCCAGTGCACCCTATGGACGTGACGGCTCTGGATTTAGGGAAGCATGGGGAGCAATTGCCTCCCTACCCCACGTCCCAGCCCGCCCCTGGATATATACACACTCATAGAAACACTTACCCTCTCAGTCCAGCTTTCTCTCCTATGGTCTTCAATGGGCTCCCTTGGCTGGTCCCTGATGTATTTGAC